CACTCTATTTCTTTTTGAATAAGCGCTGTATTACACTACACTCTACTTATTTTACTTTAAACTTTTAAACCTTGTTATTTGACACAATACTTCCTAATGGTAAGTCATTAAATTCTAACAGACCAATGTCCAGTTGTCTGAAGTAGAAGTACTGCTAACTTTATCAATTGTAAAATTTCAAACTTCTCCTTGCTTTATTGTGACTATTACTCTGTTTTGGAACCATGTCTCAGAATGGTGCCATTAGTTTCAGCAGAGCCTTCATTTAGCCCTTAAAAATCAAGTAAGTAACTTGTGCTGGGAGCTGTAGGAAGTGAACTTGCAATTTGAATTATAGGATCATAGGACACCACGTTGGAAAGGACCTCAAGGACCATCTGACCCAAACATTCTTGGCAAAAGAACAACCTAGATGGGATGGTTCAGCACTCTTACAAGTGTCCAATGTTAGGAAATCCACCATTTCCCTGTGGAAATTACTTCAATGATGTGTAGTCCATGTGCCAACTTTTTTTTTTTTTTTTTTTTTTTTTCTGTATATGTGGGCTTTTCTTCCTGAATTTCTCTCTGAATTTCCTATGATCCAGGAAAAGTGAAAAACTCCTTTCTCTAAGATTTCACTACAAGCCATATTCTGGAGTAACAAGAAGATAAACAATAAATTCAGGGCTATATTTAAAAATATTTAAAATATTTTGTACAAATAACATGCTGATGGAAAATACCCCATTTAGTTAGCTGTGGAGGTTGCCAGGAGACACTAAATAATACTGAAAACTAAAGTACCGAGTGTGTCAGGTAATACATAAAGATGAGTTTTCTGGAATACTCAATCAGAGTATTCAAAATCAGACTCAGGAGGTTTTCAGTATACCAAGCTGCCATATCCTGTCACATTCTGTACAGGATCATTCAGTCTCCTTTGCTGCCAGTCAGCACAAACAAAGCAGCTGAGACAGAGCATGTGTACAGGTACCCCAAGTAAACATAAAATGAATGGGCTTGTTTTGCAAGCATGATGGGACACAGGGTATGGCTGGAAGATAAAATGGGCAGTGTAATTTTCATATATTGTGTGAAAAGCATAGGGAAAGCAGGGAAGTGATACATAATATTTTCTGATCTCGGTGCTTGTAGAGTTAAGTCTGGAAGTCAGTGAACACTTCGATCTAGAGAAATACGGCTCTCTGTTATTCGCAGCATTACCAATTCCCACTTTAATGCTTTGGTTTGTAGCAGTAAAGCCAGGAGACAGAGACGTCATGTCATTAGATCTGTGCTGCCCTTGAGTGGATCAAATTCAGCTCAGTGGTAGAACAAATAATAACACTGAATTGTATAATTATTAGAGATTTACTCCTGCCTCAATAAGGGGGCAGTGTCTAAGTGAAAAGGAGTCAACGCAAGGCTAGATGCAATGCAACATAAAGCTGCACTCCACCCTCTCTTCACCTGCTGTGTTTTAAGGCATACACACAGACATTTCTGTTGAAAAGCATTCTCTGAATGTGGTGAGAAGCCTATTGCCTGGTCTCCAAATGAAGTGGGACTTGAGGGAAGAAATGTAAACAGGCAAAGTCTTATCTTTTGCAATACAAATTAACAACTGAATTTGTAGATCAGACTGTTATGTGGTCCAACTGCCCGAGTACCTCAGGGCAGACCAAAGGTTAAAGCCTGTTGTTATGGACACCTCTAAAACACTGACAGGTTGCCTGGGGCATTGATCCCCTCTCCAGGGAGCCTGCTCAGTGTTTGACCACCCTCTCCTAAAGAAATGCTTCCTAATGTCAAGTCTGAATAGCTGTAAACAGGATATCTTGAATTAAGAATATAGACTATAATTTTGGTAGTTTGTGACATTTCTAGAACAAAATGTATTAATCAGAAGAATTTTTAAAAGCAGAAATTATTACTATTCCTAGCAGTTAAGCAAATCCAGTGCAAGGTCTTAAAACCCTCTCTTGACCCATCCACATTTTTCAGGTAAACAAAGTTCTGTTCAAAATGCTTCTTTAGTTCTGCTCCAATCCTGCTGGTTTTCTTTCAGCAATGTTGGATGCTGCTTGTGAGGAGGCCAGAAAAATGTTTAGTTCAGGCCATTAAATAAGTTTCTTCCTTGTAGGGGACTTAGAAATATTTTATAATTTTTTTAACTTTCGTGTGCAAGTCACTTATTGTTGCTGACAAAATAGAATGAAATATGATGCCATTCAAAAGCAAAGTAGTTACAAAATCTCTGAAAATTCCTGTCAATGATCACATCCAGGTATCACCAGTTGGTGCAGGGGCAGCAGCTCCAACATCAAGGCTCTGTGTCCATCACAAAGGACATGTCCGAGGCTGGATCAAGTGGCAGCGGAACTTGATCTAGATAAGTGTGAAATGGCAGCACATGCCGGGCAAATTACCCCCAGGCAGCGGCAGGGTGTTTATGGAGGCTCTATTTTGGCTGGATGCTTGTGGGCTTACCAAGGACAGGCAGTGCTCGCCTGATAGACACTCTGCTGCTACTTAGTTCCTTCCAATCGATTTTTGAAACTAAATTGGAGCTGCTAAGTGAGCGTGTGCAGACTCATGGGTGTGGTGTTTTTGCAATAGGCTCATTAAGTGGGATTTGCCTTCTGGAGGCGACACAGGCTAAGGCAGGGGTACAAAATCAAGCGCAGCCGCGGTCACTGGGTGTTGGGATACTGTCACTTGTTCAAAATAGGCTCCAAGATCGAGGTAACAATTTATAAAGACATTGCTAAAGAGGTACATCTAGGTACTTCATTGAAAGCATGGGCGAAAGGGACATTAAATAAGAGTGTGATGTTAGTCCATGCTAAGATCTGTTTTTCTATTATAAAAGGTTCTTATATTTTATGTTTTTCTAATCATTCTTTTTGAGTTGAGACAAACTTTCTCATTTCATCTATTTGATCCATTTGGTGCTTTTAGTTTATTAATTTATTTAGCAGCTAATAGGGCACAATGTGATGTGAAGAACAATTAAAATGAGAGAACAGTGCTAAATCAAGCTGTTTGTGTCTAACTCTGTGTAACTTTTACAATAATTTCTACTGACACAAAATAAGTAGCAGGTTTTTGCTAAATGGACTAGTCTAGACTTGAATATACATCAGTGTAACAATTCCCAAATGGGTGCGAATTTGTGTTATTATAAATACTTTATAATACTGTAAATGGTTAAGCAAAGTGGCAGAGAATATCTGCTTATTGCACAGCCACCTGACACTAGAAGTGGATACAGTAGGCTGGAGGACAGTCTTTGAATTGAAAATTTTTGCAACGATAGAAAGAACTAAAAAGATTGAATGCGTGTCATAAAAGAGAAGTGAAAGGTAATGTACTCAGGAATAATCAGCTAAATAAAAATAGGATGTGGAAACAATTGGCTTCATAAACATGAAGGAAGAAGTCTGGATAATAGATCAGAGTTGATGACAGTTCCACAAACTCCTTAGTCACCATTAGAGCAGTGAGAATTCTGTCTGATATTTACCTTAACTGACCACAGCACACACAGAGAAGCAGAAAAGCATGGAGCATTCTGCAAAAATACAACTTTATTGTTTTGAAAGAGTGCATGTATACAGCAAAACATCTTCTTATATGGCTTCTTATATAGCCATTAATGTTTGTAAAGATCAGCTCATCTTAGCAACCAGTTCTAAAAGTGGAGTGCAGGCTCCCACAAACCTCATCAGATCACATCCAGGAGGAAGTGATTTTGTTACTGTGCAGAGGCTTCTACTGTATTCATTACAACCAACAATGTCAAAGCAGTGCACAGTAGCACGAGACAGCTATTGAGCATTTCTTTCTCCATAACATGTCTATGGATAAGACAGTATAACTAGTAATGTATTCCCTAAGGAAATTAAAAAAAAAAACCTTTTGGTATTGGAGGGTATTGTATTGGATCAAATTTGGTATTGTATTGGATCAAATAGATGAAATTTCAAAAGCTCCCTCCTAATTCTAGGATATTGTATCACTGAGAAATGTGATAGCTGCAATGGTTTCTTTTTGTATGTCTCGGGTCGGCTGTTGATGTTCTCTGCCCCGAGATGTGCAGGATGTCTCTGCTTCGGCCCGCGCAACAGAAGAATGGGTCTGGACTCTTCGCTTTTCGGTCTTGAGGTTGTTTATTAATTCTTATCTATAAAATTTTCTTTCTGTCCAGCTGAGGGCTGTTCAGCAAGGCAGCCACAAGCACTCTGACCGCCCCCGAGGCAGTATCGTCTTGTTATACTGCAAACTACGTATAACATATTTACTCTAAATTCCCAATACCTATCACCTATGTTAGACAGTGCACTTCTATTCTAAACCAATCCCAAAGTGCCAACATCACTGCAGAAAATGGAGAACAAGAAGAAGAAAGAAGAAGGACTAGACACACCCTGGTTCCTCCATCTTGTCCCCATAACCCATACCAAAAATCCTAAAATCTGCATTTTCACCCTGTGAATACTTTATTTATTATTACACCATTCAAACCTGTGTGACTTTCATGTCCTCATACAAAACTGGCAATTGGCTGCAAGGGTCGAAATCAAGCCACCAGGTGTTCTGGGCAGCATGCCAGGGTCTCCAAGCCCCCCAACGGGGTTCTTGGCAACTCTGGACATCCAAAGGGATGTGCTGAGTTCCCACAACATTAGTCTGGACTTCTTTCATTTCCTTCTCTTCATGCATCCTTCTCAGTTTTCAGTGTGACCATGTGACCTGCATAATGTCATTGTCATGTACACAATATTAAAAAAAGGAGAATATGCACACATTCAAGAAAAGGAGAATAACATCTTGTATCACTAAAGTGTGTCAGTATCTGGCACTCAGAAACCGGCAGAGGAACAGCATGCTGTGTGTAGCAGGGACCTGAGTGTCACTTCTCAGCTCTTGCTGCCCACATCGCTGCGTCTGGCAATTCTAGGAAGAATTGGTCAGTGTCAGGAGAGGAAACATCAGCATTAATTATAACTGTGGGATAATTGTAATGTTGCTTTATTCTTTCGTTGTTTCCTTTTGTGAGACAGTAGGGACTGACATTTATTGCAGGCCTTTATTTCCATCTTTATTGTTCACTGCATTCTGAATAGTTCTCAGAAAGTCAGCATGAAATATGGATTAGATACATTCCCAGACAGATAGTACAGAGGAGCGAGGGGACAGGAGGAAGCAGGAAAGACACCAAAAATCAGATGAAAAGAGCTTCAAAGATTCTCTTTCCTCTTAGCGGAAGTTTCTAAAGGATCAGAAGATGAAGCAAAACATGAAGGTTAACCTACGCTGGATACTGGAATTGGATACAAAGGACGTACTTTAGAAAAACCGACCGGGTGCTTAAGCGGTCACAGCCGTGACACGGCCTGAGCCGGGTGTCGCCTCAGGGGTGGTTCCGTGCACCGCAGCGCCCGAGTGAACGTGAAGCTGACATCTACACCAGAACATCGCCGGCATCCCTCGGGAACGGGCGGTGCGCCGACACCGGCATTTCCCTGCGGGAATTGCTCGGCACGGAAGTGACGCGCGGCCGGGAAGTGACGGCGGCGGCGGCGGGAGCGCGGCCGCGCGGGGCCGGTGCGGGCCATGAACAGCCGCCTGCAGGAGATCCGCGAGCGGCAGAAGCTCCGCCGCCAGCTCCTGGCGCAGCAGGTACGGCCGGGGGCGGCCGAGGCACCGGGGCGCTGCGGGGCGGGGGACCGGGCCGGCCGCGGAGTGACTTTGTGTTTGCCGCCGTGCAGCTGGGGGCCGAGAACGCCGACAGCATCGGCGCCGTGCTCAACAGCAAGGATGAGCAGCGGGAGATCGCGGAAACCAGGGAGACCTGCAGGTCGGTATGGGAGGGCGGTGGCTGTGCAAAACTGGGGGCTGCATAGGAGAGCAGGCCCGGCGAGCGCCGTGGGATTGCCCTCGGTAGAAGGAAACTCAGTAATTAGTCACATCAGAGGCGCGACTAAGGCGAGTAGGGTCTAGTTATTCCCTTCTAAGAGCAGGTTGGAAATGCAGGCTGACTTGTTTCTGGTGTGAAAAAGCTACTGTGTAAGAAAACAGATCTGAGTTTAGAATGGGCCTTCTGCTTGGGTCCCAGAGCCTTCATGCTTCTGCTAAGCACAGTTCAGGGCAGTTCAGTTTGAAAATTCTCATGAAACTACAGATACGTCTAGGACAGAGCATCTACTGTTTATCATCTACTACTTATCAAGTCAAATAAAATCTACTGCTTATCTTCTCTAGGTTGTGTCTTCCTCCTTGATTTTTTCCCCTGCTTTTACAACATCTGTCTGGTTAGTTGTGGCCTGTTTTGGTCCTTTGCACTGCACCAGATGTAAACCCAGTCCATTTTCTTTCTTCCCAATTTTTTTCCCCCTTCAATTTAAATTCCTTTGATGATATCTCCATTCCAGAATGTTCGTAAGTCCTTCTTTTCTGTTTCAGCCTTCAATGGTGAAATGAAATTGAAGGGGAATTTTGGCAAACTTTGGTCCTGCACTTGTTGGCATACAGGCCTTTTCATGGCTTTTGACTTTGGCAAGGATTTTTAAGTACCCATGCCATGTCCCTGATACCCTCCCCCTCAAGTTGTGTCTTCCTCCTTGATTTTTTTCCCCTGCTTTTGCAACATCTGTCTGAACAGGCGTAATTTTGTAAACAAACTGCTTTGGGGTAAAACAAGGTGTACCTTTTAGAACAGAAAAATCCAGAGAACTGGAAGGGAATGAGCTTAATTCTGTAGATATGCTGCATTGGTTAAAATAAGCTGTACTTTTGAGAGCAGAAAAATGAGAAAGGCAAGAAAATTTCTCTTTTCAAGAGTTCTATTCTTAATAAGTTGTGCAGAACTGAAATACACTGAGAGAGGAATAGCTTTTCATGTATGATGTTTTGAAATAGTTTCAAATTTGTAACATGCAGACAAGGGATATTATCAAAGATTCCTGAACGTTTTTCTTTGGAGACAGAAACTTTCTTATGAGGAATTTTGGCTCTTCATAGGGCTGCTTATGATACTTCTGCACCAAATGCAAAACGTAAATATCCAGATGAGGGAGAAGCTGATGAGGAAGAGATTGAAGAATATAAGGTAAGAAAAGAGGAAAAAGTTACTTTTCTTTGGTGTTGTGTCCCCGAGATAGTTAGAAAATTTGTGTGTACATTAAAATAAATGTGATGTGTATATATCCTTTAATATGTATGTTCTACAGTGGCATCTCCCTTGATGCCTTCCACTGCAGAAGTGTAAGAGAGAGGACATAGATGCAGGTGTGCAATGAGCTGTGCACTCACCCAACCCCAGTGTGTGGAGGCTTAATTAATGCTGCTGCTAGGAGGAGGCAGGCCTAGGAGTCAGTGCCCAGGGAACAGCACTGAGCCATGGCTGGCTGTGGGAGGAAGCAGTGAAATGTGTGTGTGCTTGGGGAAACACAGAAAGAAGCTTGACCAGAATTTCATTGTGTCAAAAGAAAAGTTGTGCAGTTAGCAGCAAGCACAGGCCATGGGATGAGACAAGGGAGGCTGAGAGTGTCTCCTGGCCCATGTGTTCAGTGCCAAGGAATGCAGTTCTGGATGAGTGGAAGAAACAAGGGATCCTAAGGGAATTGGAAGTAAGAGGCTTGGTTCAGGATGTTCTTTTAAGTGTCCAAGATGCCCAGGAAGAGTTAGGTTAAAAAAAACAAACCAAAATGCCTCCATGGTCATTGAAGTGTCAAACTCTCATGCCCTTCACTTTTCAAATGCTCATCCCAAAGCTATGTGACAGCTTTCTCCTCATGTGATGTTTTGGCCAATATAAGAGGTATAAAGAGCTTAAACAAAGGCATGGTTACGATACAGCTGTCTTTATGATTTGGTTTGGGATCTGGTTGCAGTGTGTGTCCTCCTCCCTTTTTTCCATGTCCTAATAGCCTTGTTTCTGTGGTTAAATCCAATCACTGTCAGTGTATATGAAATAGTTCAGTGTCTGCTACTCTCTTGGATGAAATAGTAATTTTTTTAATACAAAGCCTTCGTCATGTTACACTTGTGTACAGTTTTGTAAATCTTCCTGTAATAATGTCTATCTTTTATCTTACTAAACTAAAAAGTTAATGTATGACAGGATGGTTTTTGGTGGTTTACTTTGAAAATCTCTCTATCAAGGGACAGACACGATTTTTAACATGATGTTAGTCTGTATATCCTGTTTAATAAAGAAATTGTCACCATGAAGTAGACTGCTGTTTGTGAACCAGTGTTTTAATTCTTGCATTAGTGATCAGTTAATGTAAATTAATTTTACTTCTTCATCAAGTACATGGTAAAGAACTAAATTTTTACTACCTATAAAGTATATGTGGGTAAGTTACTTGGGTTGGCAAAGTACATGAACCTTATCATTAAGATTTTCTTAATCATTGTGGAGAAGACTTACCCTGAGGTGAGCTGTAACCACTTGCAAGTGGCCAGACTTTTTCTATGTTGTTGAAATGGAAGAATATTGTAATAACAGTAGCTCAGACAAAATTCAGTTGAGCAGGTGAACAGACTTAAGAAACTTGAAACCCCAGGGTAGAACATCTATTGTAGAGTCATCAGCTGTTTCCTGCAGGCATGGCTAATTCTCTATTGGCAAGGAGATAAGAACAGTAAAATTCCATCTGCATTTTCCTGAGCTCTCTGAGCCTGCTTAAATTTAGTCTTCTAATATGAAGTCATACAAAAATCTGCATCCTTAAGGTGTCAAGCCCTATTGTATTGTGTTTAATGCAACTTAGACAAAAGCAATAGTAGACTTAACTAGAACTGTTGTGGACAAGTTTTGCAAGTTTGCCAGTTTTGTTTGGAAAATCAGAGGTATTTCTGATGTGAAGGGACTTGTGTCTTATACCCCTGACTTGCAGTGTTGGGTTCTATGTGATGGGATCAGGAAAGTCTTCTGAAGTTATTTCAGCTTTTTGTGCCCTGGCTTCACATTTGGTGGAAGTGAATGTACCCTCAAACCTGTGTGAGAGCAGTTTCTAATATAAAAGGTGAAGTATTTTACTTTTCTCAGCCACGTAGGAAGATCTGATTAAAAAAAAAAAAAAAAAAAAAGCAATGTGTTTTCATTTTGGTGGGTTTTTAATTTCTGTGTGTCTGTTTTTGGCTTTTTTGTAGCCTAAGTGTGAATTTATAGTGGTGATTCTTCATAAGGCTCAGGCTGATGTGAGAACAAAGGGCAGCACTGACTCCAGTCTGGCAGCCTGACTCTGGTCTTGGAGCCTGGCTCTGCCTTGCCAGCCTTGGGAGGTGGGTGATAGGGAAGGGATGCACTATTGGAAAAAGGAGTAATGGATATTTTTAAGTCAGGAAGTTCAGTTGTGGTTTTGGAGAGGTCCTAAAATGCTCCTTTCTTGTGGAATTGTAACAGTTGTCCCAGGGTTAGTTGAGCTCCCTGATGTGTATTTGGAAGTGAGAAGCAATGGGGTTCGAGTCTGCTGCCACTGTGAGGCCCCTGTGGGAGCTGTGAGTGCTGCTCCACCTGCTGCCTTCCCCAGGTGATTTGGCTCCATTGTTTGAGCCTGTCTGAGTGTCTGCTGTGTGGAGTACAGAAGTGCTTGTGGTTCTATTTTGCTGTCAGCCAACCTAATTTGAGACTGCCCCGTTCTGCTTTGTTGGTGCAAGCAGAGGCCTGCAGGCTTGGGATGCTTCCATGCCATTGTTGTGGAGGCTGAAGAAAGCTTACTTGGTTGAATCATGGATTCCATGTATCTCCACTCATTTGAAGCAAGCTATGTTTGAATATTGTGGGGCGTTCCTGTTTCCCTAACTCAGCAGCTCTATAGCAGATGCTTTGGAAAACACAGATAATTAATGTACAAGAACCTAGTATCTTGTGTTACTGCTGGTGTCATTCTGTCTCTGCTGTGACTGTTTCCTTTCCCTCTGAAAGTTGGTGGTGTGGGCTTTTGTTTATGGCCACAAGACTCTTTTTAAACTGCTTACAAAGGCATAAAAGAGAACTGGGATCACTCGGGTATCTAACTGGTACTTATCATCAAAAGGACAAGATTTAGAGAAAGATGAAAGAGGGAAACAGGTGTAACTTATGATGGCATAAGCAGTTTTTAGTAAAATGCAAGCTTTCAGCTTTTTTTTTTTGACCTGAATAACACTTGCTGCTGCTTGTCTGTGCATTTCTTTTCTTGCAAACACTCTTGCTGTTTCTGATTGTAATATTTTTTTTTATCTGGTTAGACAAGCAAAAAGACTGTGTATCTCTAAGTTCACCACCTGAATGGGGAAGGGGAAGCTGTGACCTGTTTATCCCATCAGACATTTCAGAAGTCAGTCCAAAACTCCACCTTGGAAATAATAGAAGTTTACTTGAAGATTTCAACACTTAGAGGGATCAAAATTGGGAGGAACAGCACTTAATTTTTTATTCTGCATTGAGACAGCTTATGTAGTAGCATAGAGTAAATACAGCTGTGATAATATGGCAAATGATATCAATTTAGTAGTTCTTCAGTTGTACTTCTGTGTTCTATAAATCTGTATACTGGGTTGGTCCAGGGTCAGTGGGAAGGCAGTGATGTGAACTGAGTCTCTCTTGAGTTTCTGTTCTGTCTGTGTTGAATGTTCAGAGTGTGTCAGTGTAACAGATCTCTTGAGTCCCAGAAACAGCTGAATGAACAGTTAGGGGCTCTCTAGGTCGTTTTAATGTAAATGCTGGGGCTGTAGAAGAGAAAGTTATATTTAAGGGCAATCCAGATGCAATACTGACCTGTACCATGAGCTGTTTCTTCAAAGTGTGGACTTTGCTAAGGCTGGGAAATAAGAGATGACTGTCCAGATATAAATGCTCAGAAGTTCTGCTGCAGAATAATATCGACAAAATCTATACTTTCAGTCCAAAGAATAAAAGTTTTGTGGGACAAAAATGTAAAGCACTGTCAGGGGCTGCAAGTGAAGGGGTTTTTACTTTTTTCTTCTTTCAGAGGCCTTTCCCAATAACACTCTCCTTGTTGGTGAGAGACGTGCAGACCTTTTGGGGAATAGGTATTTTTTTTCCCCGCTTGAACGGTGGAGCTGGATCTGCTGTTTGTACAGTCTGCTTCTCCTTATGATCTGCTTCTTAAGCAAAGGACAGAAACAGCTTGATCTTGTGTGCACACTTGTAATGCCTGCTTTATTTCCAAGGATGAAGTAGAGCTGCAGCAAGATGAAGAAAACCTGCCTTATGAAGAAGAGATTTACAAAGATTCCAGTACCTTTCTTAAGGTGAGGTGCTTTTGCAATTGGAAGTGTAGTCAAAGCTGGCCTAGTTGTCTTAAACTGTTTCTGCAACTGATGGGATCTGAAATACAGCTTTAACGGCTGAAGTAGTGGCTTGGAGCTCACAGGTAAGAAGTTGCCTGTGACAGTTCTGACTATAACTGGTGTTTGCATTATTCTGAGGCACCTCACACTGGGCTGCAGGAATGGTGGGCCTGGGTTGGAGCTAAAAGGATGGTCTTGACCAGGGGAAATATAAGGGCATGTTGAAAACACAATCTGCTCCTTTCTCATTTATCAGACTAACATGTACAATGTGTCTATGTATGTCCACTTGTCTCCTGTTGTTCTCACTGAACTTCTTCCTGTTCTCCAGGGCACTCAGAGCTTAAATCCACACAATGATTACTGCCAGCACTTTGTGGATACAGGGCACAGACCCCAGAACTTCATCAGAGACGTTGGTATGTTGCAGCCAGGAACTGTTTGAGGATGACTCATTTGATTCAATAGCACTTCTTTTTCCTCCCCTTTTGTAATTTCTTACAGTTTCTGAGAAGTGTAGGTACACAAACTCTTCCTAGTTTTTTGTCTCAGTGTGCATACTACCAGTATAGGCATCTACATGAATGGTTTTATTTGCAGTTACTTAGGAGGTCATTATTGCCAAGGCTGTTCTTACCCTTAGTTTTACTTGAGAGTATTGCACCAGGAAGACTTTTTTTCCAACCTAAGCTATTTTGATTCCAGAAAGTAGATGAGTTTAATGAGGAGATCTTGAAAGCTCCGGAAGTTTACAGTTCAGCTGTGTACTGGGCTGTATTGCCTCTTAAGCATGTAAAGTATGGGAAATAATGACATTTAAGTCAGGAAGCAATATGGATAATGTTTCTCAGCTAAGTTAGGTAACTGCTGACAGCTCGTTAGCATGCCCAGGTGTAGAGGACGTTGCATGTATCCAGACATAACTTACTACTCAAATGATGCTGCACTGGGCCTGAACTTAAACTTGCTAAAACTAAGGCACGGTTTGGTCCTGTTTCCCAGAATAGGTGCCTGGCATTTGGCTTTTAAAAGGAGCGGGACATCTCCCTCTGCAGTTTTATGCAACAGTTCTCTATATTTTTTCTAGTGTAAGATTGCCAAGGCAAGGGGGTTGTGTTTTTAAATGGCAGCCCAAAGAGGTTTGATTTGCCTCCAGAGGCTTTTAGTTTATTCTTCTCTGTTTTGTGAATGGTTCTGTGAAACACATCTGGGCTGTTTTAACTCAATTGGATCTTTATGCCAAAAGCCCTAGGCCTTCACAGTTATGTACTTGAGGCAGTTCTGCACTCTTCTTGGAAATGGAGAAACAGCAGCCCCTGTTGTATGCCATGACTGCTGTGTAATGGATGGGGAAGGAACAGGACAAACAGGCAGTGTTGGTGTGGAGATGAACAGGGAAGGGACAGGACAAACAGGCAGAGTTGGCGTGGAGATGAACAGGGAAGGGACAGGACAAACAGGCAGAGTTGGTGTGGAGATGCAAAAAAAAAAGATGAAAAGAACAAAGAACTTTTGGGTGTTTGATGCACAACTGGAAAGAGATAATAAAGGTTAGGTACTCAGAACTTCATTTTTATCATTGCATTCCTAGGATTAGGACTTAAGAAGTTTGAATTGAAATAAGGAGAGAGATGAAGGGTTCGTGGGTTTGGGTGAAGTTTTTCCCCCCCAATTTATTAGTTGTTGTTTCCCCAATCATTCCAAGTTGTACTTTGAAATGAACATGAAGCCGAAGCCTTTTAAATCACTCCTACTTAAGTTGAAGTGATACTGCTTGGGAAGCAGGAATGGTGCCCTGTTGGTCTATGCTGAACCTGCTGCTGGCAGTATCTAAGCGAGAATGAAATATACTTCAAAGAACATTTTCCTTTTTACAACGTTTTCTGCAAAAGATCTAATGAGGGCTCTCTCCTTTGCATTCTGTGCACATGAAAGGTTGGAAAATTGACATCATAAAACTAAATGTCAGAGCATGCGTTCAGATCTTCATGACTGCCAACACAGCACCAAATCTCAGTGTGAGGGTTGCCTCAGGGAACCTGCCACACCCCAGGTGCCACTTTGGAAACAGTCCAAAGATTACACAAAGATTACAGAGACTATGCTGTGAATTAATATTAATTAGATCTTAATAGAAATTTTAGAGATGGGGAAAAACCAAAATAGTTTCTTTCATCATCCTGGCACTTTCAGTTTAAATGAAAGGTTGTTTCCTTCTGGTAACAGTTGTTGTGAATTCCTGATCAACTGTAGTGTTCTAGAGAAGATCAGAGCATAGACACTGCATCAGTAACAGCCCTGCTTGGCTGGGTGAGGGCAGGAGGCTTTTGTCAAGTACCGAACAAAAACTGCTTTAAAGGGTTTGCTTTGTTCTAACAAAAATTAAACTTAGGCTAAGTATTAACATTTGGACCTATTTAGAATACTGGACAATGCTTAATTGATAGAGATTTACTCTGTTAAGTAGTTGTTAACTTCATGTTTTCTTCTTCTTAGGCTTAGCAGATAGGTTTGAAGAATATCCAAAACTTAGAGAGCTCATCAGATTGAAGGATGAGCTGATATGTAAATCTAACACTCCTCCCATGTAAGTGTTCTTGTGGAAAATGCCTTTCTTCTCCAGACCTGTTTGAAGTTAGCTGTCTGCTTTGCAAATCTCTATCTTCAGCACCTGCTTAGAATTTACATTTTCTCTTTCTGTTTGTGTATACAAATGAATCAATTGAAGCATAGAACAATAAGTTCACTCTGGTGTTGTTAGTTTGATCTAGATGTTTAATACTGTGTATAAACCAGATTTTCTTTCCAGTGTGTGATTATTTATAGTCTCTAAAGCTTTGATTTTTTTAAGGCCAAATTGTCAACTGATTTGGCTGAAGGCTTTAATTTGGGAACTAAGAATATCATGTGGTGGTGAATCTCACGTTATCATGTGGTTTACGATAACAAGAGCTTAAAAAAAATTGCCTCTTAATATAACCTTAGCTTTTCTTGTAGCAGCTGGTTTCTGTATAGTGTTCAGCTATTATCTCAGTGTCCATCAATCACCTGTTATTTCAGAATTGAAGGCAGAAATGTTTAGGCTAACTAAAAGTCCTTGTTTTTGCTGAATGCCAGACACAGCCTCAGTGTGCAGCCTGTTGCTGCAGGGATTCAGACCTCTCTGAACTTCTGAACTTAACCTTATGCTTGGCACGTGCAGTAGTCTTGATCTGTACCACAAATCCTCCTTATTTAATGATAGTCACATAAAACCCTATGAAATAGTTGTCTAAACAACTGAGGGCAAACTGCAAACTCAACCTGCTCTTTTAGGCTAGGCATGTGTTTTGGTCATAAAGTACAAAAGTAGGAAAACCAGTAATCAAATGCTGCCTTCTGACAACACCAAGTACACATGGAATCTTTTTTTGGGAAGGGGAAAGGTGGTGGTCTGTTACTAGCTTTACTAAAGTTAAAGGAATTTAGGGGAGAGCAGTGTCATTTTTTGGTAGTGATGGAGCAGTGAGTGGTGTGCAGGTGTGAAGGAGAGTCATAAGAGTGTGTGTGAGCATGTATTTAATGGAATCAATGGGGGGAGAATTCCACTTGGTACAGGAATAGGGAAATACATGGAATACATGTATAACTATATAAAAAGTAACAATGTTTCCAGTATTTAGAGTCTTTGGAATAATTCTAAAAATATGACACTTTCCCAGTTAGCCAGGCAGTGAGTGTTTGCTTCTGAAATGTTTCCTGCTATTGTAGTCCATGGATGTACAGAGAGTGCAGTGAGTCTGCACTAGGTATTGTTGTACAGTCTGTGTGGACATCTGTTTCCTGCTTGCTAAGTTGGAAGCCTAAAAACTGTTTATTAAGACTACTTAAAAACCACAATGCAGTAGCATCCAGCCTTGATTCAAGTGAGGATGTGTAATGGATCTAGCATTTGAGATGTACAACCCACCCAGGAGACCCTGCTCTTAACTGGCTGCACAGAAGTGTGTGGAGTGTAGTTCACTGTTGAACCTTGTCTGATGCAGTCTGGCATCATCTGTTTAAACAGGTATTTGCAAGCAGACTTGGAAGCCTTTGATATTAGGGAACTGAAGTCCAAATTTGATGTGATTCTCCTGGAGCCGCCATTGGAAGAATATTACCGAGAGACTGGCATTACTGCCAACGAAAAATGCTGGACCTGGGATGATGTAAGTACCTGTTTTGCTGTGAAGAGCATTTCATACATCTGTTTAAGCAAATAGTTTCAGGGTTTAATTTAGCAAATACAACTTTTTGTTCTCTCTGAGCCTGGCTGAAAACTTGAACCTAGTAATAGTGGGTTTTCTGTCTGCCCTTACCTCCACTGAGCTTTCTCTTTGATTTTTGGCTGTTGAAATACTGACTGTCCTGAATTGAAAAGATTCCCTTGTTTCTTGAAATTCTTGAGATTATTAAGGCATGTTTTTTAATATGCTGCTCTTCTAGTAAAAAGTGCAGGTTAGTTTGCTTTACTGACATTCCTCCATTCTCCAAGTATTGATTGGGTAGGAAATTTTGATGGTCAAACCAGTAATAATCCCTAGAAACGTAACAAAATAGATAAACCTCATTTGTGGAAGTCTTTCTCTTGTATTTATTCAAAAATGGTGCCTACCAGTGCTGCCCAGGGAAAAAACATTCCATCCTAACAAAAAAATTAGAGTGTGGGAGGCAGGACTCATCTTCCCAGTGTGGACTTACATCCTCCTAGAATGGCTCCTACCGCATTATTTTTCCTCGGAATGGCATTGAATGAAGCTTGATTTGATGTGTTAGCAAGTTAGAGATGAATCCTTTCAATTTGTGATGACTAACAGATGCTTTGCATCCCAAGTTATTTCATCTTGAATGTTACTCATTTGCCATTGTTGAACCACTGTTCTCATAAATTCTGGCTGCTTTTCCTGAAAGTGAAAATGGAGAGAATGTCTTTCCTATTTAGTGATAGGAATTAAGCTGAGATTTTTAGAATGTGAGTACTTCACAACCTTCATGTGAGTACTTACAGAGAGGAAAAGAAACAGAGTACTGTTGCTTCTGTATTAAATATTTTTGCTGCCAGTGGAATGATAAAGCAGAGATTTGAGGAGGAGACCATGTGGATTGTGTTGGCCTTTTAAGTCTAGAATTTCTGATACAGGTAGAATTTCTGTTTGTGATGGTTTCAGCCTAGCCCCAGGCAGCCACTCGCTCGCTCCCCCACCAGTGGGATCAGGGAGAGAATTGGAAGGGTAAAAGCTGGAAAACTCAAACCTTGAGACAGTTTTAGCACACAAGTAAAGCAAAACAAGGAATTAGTTCCCTGCTTCCCTTGGGCAGCCCCCAGCTGTGCTTCCTGATGGTTTCTGTGACAATGCCTCAAGACTTAGTATTCTTCCTGATGGAACTGGTGATTTGTATTTAATTGAGAAATGTTTTTATTGCGCTTATTATTATTAGATCATGAAATTGGAAATTGAAGAAATTGCAGCCCCAAGGTCATTCGTGTTTCTGTGGTGCGGCTCGGGCGAGGGTCTGGATCTTGGCCGAGTGGTAAGATGTTGTTTTAATTCAATTTATCAGGGACAGGCTTAAGAGTTTATTTTTATCTTTGACTTTTCCCTGTATAGAATTCTCAGCCCTAACTACTGAGGGATGTTTTGTTACTGTGTTAGAGGATATGTGATGTTAAATGGCATTAACTGTTTAGATACTGTAAATGTCCAGCTGAGTCGCTGACTGTGTGAGGAAGCATAATTCCTTGGGGTTGTGGTTTGGATGTATGTGTGGTAACAGAGGAGTAGGTTGCCAAGTTACAATTTTTTAATGGAACTCTCAGTAGTTTTCTGCCAGAAATGGCATGAAATGCATGCCAGGAGAAAGTCCTACTGTTTCAAAAATTGGGATACAATTGTCATCTTTCTGCATGGGAAATGCTGCTCGTGTTGGGGATGCTGCACTAAGAATTCCCAATTGGCTCCTGCAGTGCTGAAACCTTCTTTATTTAGTTCAAGCAGTGCTTTGCATGAAAACACTTCACAGACAACTGTTTAAGGGTAGCTGTGATTACTGATCTCTTTGCTTTTGCTGTTTTCAGTCTGAAGTTGGCCAGATAGACTGGGCTTGGTCCTAGACAGGTTTGTAGTAGCTGTCCTTGAATAAGAGAAGTCAAGAGCCTAAGTGAGTGTTCAATTCAGGTCACTTGATGTTTTTATGTAGTGTGAACTGGTTTATTTGTTTCTAACATTTAGTGTCTGCGCAAATGGGGTTACAGAAGATGTGAGGACATTTGCTGGATTAAAACAAATAAGAACAACCCTGGCAAGACCAAGACTCTAGACCCCAAGGCTGTCTTCCAAAGAACCAAGGTAAAGGATTGGCTCCATTCCTCCTCTGTTTCCATTCTGTCTCTGTGCCGATGACACAGCCAGTGTTGGTGACAGGCTTGTGAGAAAGCCAACAGGAGGACTTGCAAGTTCTGTTCTGCAAAGTACATTTTATGGAACTAAACTTAGCAATAGAATCTGACTAAAGTCAATGTCAAAAGTCTTTTAAATCTGTAGATTTTAACTGAATCTATTAATAAAAAACAGCTATAGAAGATTGGCTACTGGTTCTAAATGCACACAAAGCGTGCGCCCGAGTTTGGACCAGAGAGAAGCCTGGGGGAACCAGAGCATGTCCTGCCTTCCTGGAGATGACTGTATAGCACAAGTGACAGAATGGATCAGCTTGGTTTAAACCAAACTTTTGTTTTAAGATGTTTTGTGGAGGGTGTGTATTGAAGGAGGTACAGAGAAAAAAAAGTTCTGGTTTGTGACTCAAATGTCTGTTGATCAGAAACTTGGAGAAATGTTAATGAGACTCATAAATAGTTAATTTGGGTGTATGTGAGTGTAACTGGAAGTTTTACTGAGTACAGAGAGCTGATTGGCAATTTATTCATTTCAAGTTGTCAGTGAACCTCAGGGCTCCTTCCTTATTCATTAATCATTCATTAGCATTAAACATCCTCAAGTTTGTCTAAAATTGGCCATTGTTAGGAGTATAAACTTCCCTTTAGGATATCTGGAGTCTTTCTTTGACTTGCATTTACATTAATCTGAAGTTTGTTTGAAGGTGTGTTGTAGTAGTTATAAATATTTAAAAGTATAAATACTGTGTGTTTATTGCATATAGTACTGCAAATATGTGCAGTTTGCTCATGAGGGCAAGGTTAAACTAACACAGGAGGATTTGGGGGGACTTATGTCTTTGTTTAGCACAGAAAAATAGTTTCTGGTATGGGGGAATTCCTGTTTATGGAGCGAGAGTTGAGCTGAGGTCACTGTTTGTGATAAACACTGAAAACGGAGTGAGTTTGCTCTGACTAAACAAACACTGTTTCAAGCTGTGTTTGCCAGTGCTTAGAGCAGAATTGTGTTCTGTTGTGTTTGGCTGAGGCATCTCTCCAGGGATGCTCGGTGCTGTGCCACCTGTCAGAGAATCCCAGTAGTTGTGAGGGACATACCCTGTGGTATGGAAGTAAAAGGTTGGGGATAGTTCTCCTGAGGACTAGACTGAGGAGGCTTGGCTTGGTGGGTGATTTGCTTGGCAGTATTCTGCCTTTCCCTTAGGTAAATTCTAGGTCCAAAGCCGTGTTGCATGAGTGCAACACCACCTGCACAGATTTGACAGATGTGATATTGTGCCTTTCATGTTTACCCACTCACTCTGCAAACCCTTTCCAAAATTCAGGAATGGTTACATTCTCTTGTCTGCAGCTGTTTCCTGAGCCATCTGGTGGCGCTTAGTGAGTCAGAGCATTTGATCCTGGGGAACATCGCTCATCCAAGATTGATATTCCCAGAAACAGAGCTCTGAAATAAGTATGTAGGAGCCCCTTTTCATTCTGGAACAACTTTCATTCATGGGTGCCACATTTCTCTCACTCAGATGTCTTCAGTGTTGTAGAAGGAAGGAAAATGATGCATGTTACAGCTCAAGAGCATTTCTAATGCTGATGAGCTGCCTGAGAGTGTGATGGTGGTTGTGGGGTTTTATGCAGTAATATCTTCTAGAAAGGAACCTGAGGGGAATTCTGAGGGTCCCTTTACTGACAGAGGTACAGTATGAAAAAGTACATATTATTTCCACTGCCTGTTTCAAGTTATTATATGAATGAAGTTAGGATCAGAATGCTAAGACAGGTATTAATCAGAATTAATAACCATTCCTTGCTCTTGCCATCATGTTTTTCTCTTTTGCCTTGTGGAGACTTCTCAGCCTTTCCAGCCTAGAGTTCTCTAATTGAAAAAGTCCATGCAGCTGACTTCAGCCTTGATTTGAGTTTTACCACCTCTTAGTGGAGTTTATCAAGCTTCTGCTTAAAGTACTGCTCTGCTTTGTTCTCAGCTGGCTCCTTTTGTGGCTCCAGCTTTTCTGCTCTAGTTCTTGTTTCAGACTTTTCTCTCCTGTAAGAGTGGAATGTGCTCAGAACTGTCCTTGCTGTCCCTTGTGCTCACCTGGCACAGCAGTGGGTGTGGCAGGTGACAGCTCTGTGTGTCTGCAGGAGCACTGCCTCATGGGCATCAAGGGCACCGTGCGCCGCAGCACCGACGGAGACTTCATCCACGCCAACGTTGACATCGACCTCATCATCACCGAGGAGCCTGAAATCGGCAACATAGAGAAACCTGTGGAGATTTTCCACATCATTGAGCACTTCTGCCTCGGGCGGCGGCGGCTTCACCTCTTCGGGAGAGACAGCACAATTCGACCAGGTAACTGCTGCGTTGTGTTACCGAACAGTAAAATGCATTGCAGGGTCCTAAAGAGGTTTCCATATCTATGTCATAGATCAGACAGCAGATCTGAAGGACATAGTTTTTTGCTGTATGTGAAGATCTGTCAGTCACAGAACTGTTGTTTAGAAAGTTTATGAGAACTCTCATTTCTGTAATTTTTCCAGAAGAGATTCTTGCTTACCAATATTTTTGCCTGTGTGTTTAATGCATCAGTGAGCATAACAAAATCCAGTTGAGATTGCTTTTCTCCCATATGTTTATGCTTCTCAGAAAAGTGATTTCTTTTTCCAACTGATTTTCAACCCCTATGAGCTTAGTGCTCTTGCCTGTGTCTGAAGTGGCAGTATCTCACAGTGGGTGCTGCATCTGGCATGATGCAAAATGCAAGAAATACATGGATCAGGACACATTGTTCAGGTATTCCTTCAGTGCTGCTGCCAGGGGATTCTATATGTCAGTGTCTCACAGTCAGGTTACTCTGGTAGAACTTCACAGTCTTTTTTAAAAGCACTGCTGTGGTGTAAGGACAAGTAAGAAGAAGGGATAGGGGTTTGTGAAAGCACAGCGTGAATGTTGCCACAGCCATGAGTAATAAATTTAAAAAATAAAAGAAAAACAAGGCCTTAGAAATACCCAGATGAATCTTAACTTTGCAGCAACTCTAGAGGTGGCTCTTCATTCTGTTCAGTGAAGGCTGTTGTTGCTTCTGCTCACTGTGGTTTTGCTCCCGAGGTTGGCTGACGGTGGGACCCACCCTCACAAACAGCAACTTCAACGCAGAGACGTATTCCTCGTATTTCACGGCTCCCAATTCGCACCTGACCGGCTGCACCGAGGAGATCGAGAGGCTGCGGCCCAAGTCCCCGCCTCCCAAATCCAAGTCTGACCGGGGTGGGGGTGCGCCCAGGGGAGGAGGAAGAGGAGGGACTTCGGCAGGACGGGGAGAAAGGGGCAGGGAGAGGAACAGAACCAACTTCCGCGGTGAGCGGGGAGGCTTCAGAGGGGGCCGTGGAGGGACCCATCGAGGGGGCTTCCCCACCCGCTGAGGAGGTGACGGCTGCTTCCCCTGCCTACGCCTTGACTGGGAATCTTTCCTGTAGTCTTGTTTTTCCTACAGTGAAAAACTTCCTCCTTCCTCTGGGGACTCAAGCTAGATGACTTTTACAATTGTTTTTGGTGCACGCCGTTCCGGATAGTCGGCCTTGCAGTCTCAGCCCTTTACACCACGGGTAGGATGGAAATTACCCCCTTGCTTTCCACTTAGGAACCTTGCAAGCTGGAGACTTCTATTTCAGCTTCATTTTCTCCAAAACATGGATTCCTCCTCCATCGTTGGAGGTTTGGGTTTGGATTGACTTGCATTAATACGATGGAGTGGGCATAAAATGCAGTTCTGAATCGCATGGCCACAGCAGACTTGCTGTCCTATGGAAGAAAAAGAGCTGTGTCTGTATTGACACCTATTTTAACTTCTCTGAAACCAAGGAGTAAGTGAAATAAATAGAAATCTATTTTTTCTTATTTGGTTTAAACTTCCCAAATTATTCCTGGGAATAGGAAAAGGTTAATTTTTAATTTGTGGTGTATATGCACTCACCTGTCGTGTCAGTAGCGGGGACATTGGTAATTCTGTGCAGGTCTATGTTGTCCTTCCTGGAAAGCACCGAGTTGTGCACAGGTCTGGGCTGCTCCTTGAGTGGGGATTCTCCCCCAGTGTGTGTCTGTAACACCTTGTTGCTTGGGAGGGAAGAGCAGTGTCACTGCAGAGGGGTCCCAGAGACCTGGCTGGAGGGAGGGTTGCCCCGGGAGGTGGCGTGGGTGTGTGATTGCTGAAACAGGGACCGCTGAGGGAGCCAAGTGCTGCCTTGCCCTGCGGGTGTGGCCCACATTTGAGAATGGCTGTTGCCGATCCAGTGCAGTGTGGAAAGAAAGTGACCCCCTTCCCTAGGTACGGTGTCTGTTTTTAGCAAAACCACAACTCTGAGCTTTTCGTGCAGTTCTTGGTAGGCTCAACAAACCCAGCTTTTGATGTCTCAGTGTCTTAGGTGAGGGTTTTGGAAAACTGGCATTTAAGTCTGAATGTTTCTCCTGAAGCCCAGCTTTTAAATGACTGTCCTGTAAAGTAGTGGATTATTAAACATGTTTATCAAAGCTGATGTTTAAATATCTTTCTTAACATTTTGTGTGTTTCTTGTCCTCGAGGTTTTGGCATTGCTAAGTGGTTTCCTCTGTGCTGTTGTAGACAGGAACTATTCTTTTGATTTTAAAGATTTTGATGGGCTGGGGAACCCTCTGGCTTTGGTTATGTTTAGCAGGAGATTGCTGTAGTGCCAATGGGAACTGCCTGTTGTTTACAGCTTGTTTCTTCCTCTGCCATATGTGCATATCTGTACAGTGACTGGATTTGGGAAGGGGAGTTTTAAAGTTGATGTTAAAGTTGAGGGGAGTTATGAAGTTGATGGTCATTGGTGAAGTCTGCCAGGGCTATATGGAACGCACCTGAGAGAAGGTAAATGCCCTAGTAGGGACACTTTTTTGGGGTGATTTTTGCCCTAATTATGTTGTTATTTGAAAAGTAAAGAGATTTTACCTTAGGACCCCTGCTTTTGTGCCAGAGAAAAGTATTTTCTTGTTTTTCAATGAGTAGAAAACATTAATTTCCATTTCCCCCTTTTAATTACATGCCCAATACTGGTAGTTCAGTGAATGAGCTGCTTTTACCATACACTTAGGCTAAAGGCAAGAGGAGGGTCAAAAGCTATTGGATCTGAAGTGCCTCTGTATTAGTTTGTGGTGCTGCTCAAGACTTCACTGACTGAAGAAAGTCCTGACCGGGCAGGACAAGGATTGTTCTCTGTGTGGTGCCCAGATTTGGGGTTCCCTGTCAGCTGTGCTGAATCACACCCAGAGCCCCAAATTCCCTGCTCCATTGCCGCTGCAGTGACCTCCCAGTGCCCCATGGAGCTGGGCATTGCCATGCAGGGCTGCTGCCTTGGGCAGCAGCTGTGCCAGGAGCAGCAGAGCTTCCAAGGAAGCCCAGCAGCAGCACAGGGACAAGGACAGGGTTCTGTGGCACAGAACTGGCATTTATACCCCTCACCCCGGTGATGTCCCTGGGGGCACTGGACAGAGCTGCCTGGAACTGAGCTGGTGTCACCCCCTGCGCTCCAGGATGGAGAACATCCCGGTGGTGTTTAAAGCAGGAGAAGGCAGTGGCCAGATGTGCTCCCAGCCCGTGCTGGGGCAGCCCCTGTGCCCAGGGGGGACATCTCTCCCTGCAGGAGCTCAGCTCCTCTCAGAGCCTCAGCAGTGGCCTCTACAAATTCTTCTCCCTCAGGAACGGGATGCACATCCCTGTCTTCAGCACACCTCCAGTGGGACCCACCTGTGAGAGCTTTCCATCACTTGTGCACTTGCAGCTGGATCCTGAACACTCCAGACTCCATCCCGCTGATTTTCGGGTGTCTCTGAGGGCTCCTGCCTGGGATTCAGTATCTGTGGGGGAAGATTGCCTTGGCTTTAACGCTGCTGAGGGACGATGGCCTCAGGCTGGGGAGGAGGGAAGGGATGTGGGGTGGCTGGGACGTACCTGCAGCCGTGTGGGAGCTCTGAACCGGGCATTGCTGTGCCAGCCCCCGTGCAGACGGGCCGTGCCTCCGGTGCCAGGTGATGCCAGCTGCTCCTTGGGCTCCTCCCGGGCTCCGGGTGCTCCGTGTGGGCCGGAGCATTTCCACGGGCCTGCTCAGAGCAGCCCCTGGCCCGGGAGCCGCGGTGCAGGCACAGCTCCTGCTGCAGATCCCACAGACACGAGGGGCCGCTGCCTTCAGGAGCCTCTGGCTCCTCCTGCCCCGCGCTCCCGGCCAGCCGGGACACCCCGAGGGAACAGCAGGGAGCGCGGCTGGCAGCGAGCAGGAGGCACCGACGCCTCTGGGCCGGGGGAACAGCCCCGGCCTCGGCAGCCACCGTGGCTCTGAGCTGGCAGCACTCACCTGCAGGAAACGCCCCCTGCCGCTCTCCAGAGGAGCCCTCAGCACTCGTCTGGTTCGCTTCTTCCTGGGGAAACAAAGGGACATGGTGTGAGCACATTTACAGGTGCTGGGGAAATCCTGGAAAGGGCAGAACAATCAGGGTCATGGGGAAGAGCTCGGTGCTGCCAGGTTGAGTGCCAGCCGGTTCTGCCCTGCAGCCATTGCAGGGGCCGGTGTGCAAAGCAGCACTCACAGAAGGGAAGGAGCTGCGTTTGTAGGGGAGCTCTCTTACTGGCAGCGGTCATTGCCATCCCAGCAAGGCTTTGGAACAGCCCTGGGATCGGCCCAGGTGTTTGGAGCAGGGCGCTGGCAAGGCCAAAAGTCTGTGATCGATGGGCGGCCGGGCCGGTCGCTGCTCAGCGTTTGCCTCGGTGATCCTCGCAGCTCTGCAAATAAAGAGCAAAGAGTTTTCACTGTTTTTCCCCAGCGTTTCCCTGGGCTCCGGTCCCAGCCCAGGCACAGCGGGAGCGGGAGCAGCAACGCCTCGGTCCCAGCGGCCGTCCCAGAGCGGCGGCTCCCGGCCGGGGCTGCAGCCCCCGGGGCGCGGGCACGGAGAGGGGGCTGCGGGCGCTGCGGCTGCGGGGGAGCGCGGGGCTCGTGGGGGTACCGGGCCGGGGGAGGGGCTCGGTGTCCCCCCGGGGTTACCGGGCCGGGCAGCGGCGCTGAGCGAACGGCGATGCCGATGGGATCTCGGGGCCGGTACGGGCGGTCTCCGTGTCCTTCCCGCTGCGATCCAGCGGCCGCTCCCGGGCAGCGTCGTTCTCCTGGCGGGCGCGGCAGCGGCACAGCACCGGCTCCCTGCCGCCGCAGCCGGAGCGTGCCCGGAGCCCCGGCGGGACCCAGCCCCGCGCCGGCCGCAGCCAGAGCGGCGCCGCCTGTCCCGGAGCGGCTCCTCCCGCCCGCGGTGATGCCGGTCCCGATCCCAGCCCGGATCCCCCCTCGATCCTTCGGCCCCAGCACCCCGGGTACCTACCCCAGTACCCTGCCCGCCGAGGAAAAAGCGGCTCGGCCCAGCTCCCACGGGGAATACCGGCGGGACCGGGACCCGAATCCCCGGGCCCAGATCCCAATCCTACCTGAGCGCCTCGGTCCCCGCGCAGCAGCCGCAGCAGCAGCCCCCGATCCGGATCTCCGCACCGCGCTCCGACCGCCGCATCCCGAGCCGAGATGCCCCGCAGAAAGCGGGACCGGCGCGGCCCCGGCGGCTTTTATGGGCGGGAGGGGGGGCGGGGGGGAGGCGGGGCCCCGGGGGCGGGGCCGGCACAGGTGCGAGGGGCGGGGCGTGCGCAGGTGTGAGCGATCCCAGTGCGCCTGCGCGGGGCGGGGCCTTGGGGGATTTAAGGCGCGGGAGGGGCCCGGCGGAGCCATTTGCTCCTCGGCGTTCGGTGGGGTAGGTTGCTGTCGGTCGGGGCTCTATATCTCTGTTTCTCTTTCTTTTCTTCTGCGTTTCTTTTCTTTACTATTCCTGTTTCTCTACACCTCTCCTTTCCACCCTCCCTTCCTCCCCTCCCCCACCCCCCCACACCCACCCCCCCCCCCAAACCCCCCCCCCCTCCCTCTCCCCCCTAGCCCCCCCCTCCCTCCCCCCCTACGGCCGCCCCCCGCCCCTCCCTCCCATCCCGCCGCCCTATTCCCTCACTCATCCCTACCCTACTCATTCCTACCTAACCCTACCCTATTCCTCCGTCCTCTCCCTTCCCTCCCCACCCTGCCTTCCCCCCCGCCCCGTCCCCTGCCGCCCTGCACACCCCGACCTCTCCCCCGCTCCCCTATTCTCGTTCTGTATTCCCCGCTCTCCTCCTTCCCTCGCACCGCGGGGCGCGGGGTGCCGGGCAATAATAAAGCCCCGAGGGCCGGAGCCCGGCGCCCCCGCCCTCGCTGGGGTCCCCACACGGGGCCGGAGCCGCTCCGCGGGTCCCCCCATTGCAGTTCAAGCACCGCCCCACACCGCCGGGGTTCCGGCTGTCCCTACATCACACTGGGGGGTCCTGGGGCGGGGGGCCCCGGTTACAGCGGCCCCCTCGTTAGGAGGGGGTCGGGGGGGTGGTGGGGGGGTTAGGAAGGGCCCCCTCATTAGGAGGGGGTCCTTGGGGGGGGGGGGGGGGGGGGGGGGGGTAGGTAGGTAGGGCCCCCTCCGGAGGAGGGGGTCCCGAGGGGGGGTGGGGCGGGCCCCCTCCGGGGGAGGGGGCCCCGGGGGAGGGGGGCGGGGCGGAGGGGGGCATTCCCCCCTCCTGGCCCCGCCCCCCTGCCCCGGGCCCCCTCCTCCGGACGGGGTCCGGGCCCCGCCCCCTCCCGGGGACCCCCTCCTCCGGACGGGGCCCGGGGGGGGGAGGGAGGGGGGGCGGGTGGGGTGGGGGGGGCCAGACGGGGAGGGCCGTTCGTGTGTGCGCTGTTCGTGTCCGTGTTTTTTTTTTTTTTTTTACACGTGTACATGTGTTTGTGTTTCACGGCGCGGAGTGACGTGCCCCCCTCTGCTTCCCCCCCCACCCCACCCGCCCCCCCTCCCCCCCCCGGGCCCCGTCCGGAGGAGGGGGTCCCCGGGAGGGGGCGGGGCCGGGACCCCGTCCGGAGGAGGGGGCCCGGGGAAGGGGGGCGGGGTCTGGAGGGGGGAATGCCCCCCCTCCGCCCCGCCCCCGTCCCCCGGGCCCCCTCCCCCGGAGGGGGCCCGCCCCGCCCCCCCCGGGACCCCCTCCTCCGGAGGGGGCCCTACCTACCCCCCCCCCCCCCCCCAAGGACCCTCTCCTAATGAGGGGGCCCTTCCTAACCCCCCCTCCACCACCCAAGGACCCCCTCCTAATGAGGGGGCCCCTTCCTAACACCCCCCCTCAGGACCCCCTCCTAATGAGGGGGCCCCCCACCCCGGGACCCCCTCCAAACAAGGGGGTCCCCAAACCCGACCCCCCATCCCGGGGCCCCCTCCAAACGAGGGGCCCCCGTGGGATGGGGGAAGCGGAGCCCCGGCGGCGCCCCCTGCGTTCAACCATGGAACTGCATGGGGACACCAGCGGGGCTCCAGCGGGGCCGGGGGCGCCGGACTCCGGGCCTCTGGCCTTTATTATTGCCCGGCAGCCCCAGCCCCGCGGTGCGAGGGAAGGAGGAGAGAGGAGGACAGGGAGACAGGAGAGATGGGGGTGCTGAGGACGGGAATGGAGAGGGGTCGGAGTGAGGAGGGAAGCGGGAGAGGAAGGGAAAGGCCGAGGGGGGAGAAGTGGGACGGTGGAGAGAGGAGGAACAGAAGGGAGAAGCGGAGAAGGGACAGGACAGGAAGAAGTGGGGGGCGGTCGGGTTTGGGAGGAGAGGAAAGGAGAGTTTCAGGGCGAGAGGAAAGGGGCAGAAAGAAAGGGGAATACGCGGAGAAGGAAGGAGGGGTAGAGAGAGGGGCAGAAGGGGAGGCCTAAACCTCCGCCCTTACCTGCGGAGCCCACACAGGGAGCTCCGTCCGCACCGAGCTCTGGGTGAGCAAATGGCGGCTGCGGCGATTTCCGGGGTCTAAATAACCTCGGCCCCGCCCCGCGCAGCCGCACTGGGGCCCCGCACACCTGAGCTGGGCCCGCCCTGCACACCTGTGACGGCCGCGCACGCGCTCTGCTGTCCCGAACTGCGCACGCGCTCTGGTGTCCCGAACTGCGCACGCGCTCTGCTGCCCCGAACGGCGCACGCGCTCTGCTGTCCCGAACTGCGCACGCGCTCTGCTGTCCCGAACTGCGCACGCGCTCTCTGGCACGGCCTCGCGCTCTGTGGCCCCGCCCCTCACACCTGTGCTGGCCCCGCCCCCGCACCGCTCTCCCCCGGCCACGCGGGGGCGCCGCGCTCGCACCGCGCTCCGTGTCCGCCAGAGGGCGCCCTGCGGGGTCCCGGCCCTACACGGGGGCTCCGCGCCCGCACCGGGGAACGGTCGCGATCCCGCAGCCGGCAGCGCCCCGTGCCCGCGGCCATCCCGGGCCCCAAACCGATCCCCGGCCCGGTGCCGCTTCGATCCGCCCGGCGGGGCAGAGGCGGCACGGCCCGGCACACCCCAGCGGCGCTCTGCCCCCCGGCCCGGGCACGGTGGCGGTGGCCCCGCCGCGGCGCCCCCTGCCCGCGCTCCGTGGCCCCGCCCCTCGCACCTGTGCCGGCCCCGCCCCCCTGTCCCCGCCAGTCCCGGGGCCTTCGCTCGGGAGCCTCGCTCGGCGCCGTGCGAGCCCCGCCCGACGGCCGCTCCCGCGGGGACCGCTCGGAGCCCGGGGCGCTGCGGGGGGGCCGTGACCGTGGCCCGGGGGCCGAGCGCCGCCTGGGTCTGCCGGGGGTCCCGGGCGGTGCCGCCTGTCGCCCGTCGGTATCGGGACCGGGACGGCAGGAGCCTGGCTTTCCTGAGCCCGCAGAGCCCCGTCCCGGTGTCTCCCCCGCGTCCCGGTGTCACCTTCCGCGTCCCGGCGCCGCGGGCGGGAGAGGCGGACAGGGAGCGAGAACCGCCGGCCCCGCGTTCCCGTCCCGCTCCGTCGGGCCCCGGCCCGCCTGCCCGCCCCAGGGTCCCCGAGCAGCGGCCGGGACCGCCCAGGCCCGGGGACACCGCGGCTCCCGCCCCGCCTCCTGCCCCCGGCACCTCCCCGGGAACGGCCCCGGGGCCTCCGGAGCCCGAGAGCGCGGCGGGGGCCCGGCCCGAGCCCCCGAACGCCGCGCTCCCGGCTCGTCACCCGCCGCCCATCGGCGCCGGGGAGAGGCCCCGCCGGTGTCCCGGCTCCGGGAAGAGCCTCGGCCGCAGCTCGGGCTCCGCTGCGGAGCCCCACGAGGGAGCGCCCGAGCGCCGCTCTCAGCCCCGAAGCCGCCCCCGTGAGGCCGGGGCCGGGCCCGGACAGCGCCGGGCCGGGGCTCCCGTTCCGAGCGCTCGCACGCAGGATTCGGGCTCTGTGCCCGGGCCCAAAATGCAGCGCTTGGCCTCTGTGCTCAGGCCTGGGCCAGCCTCGCTCTGCACTCCCCAAACACAGGGCTCGAGTCCCCGCTTCACAGCCCTGGGCCCGGCCAGATGGGGCTGGGCCCAAGTGCCGGCAGCGGAGACTGTGTCCCTGAGCCCTCCTCACCCTCACCAGCACAAAAAAAACAACAACCCACAGGACTTAAGACTCCGATTCTGAGACCAGAAAAATGCCCGATTTATTAGTCTCAGTTCACAGGGTCGTGGAATTGACTGCGGACATCGCCACAGACGGTGGCGGGGAATGGAGCTCTCACACGTTTGATTCTGTTGTGGGAACTGCTTCAGGCTGGCAGAAAACCACGGGTGGGATCAGAAGGCCGGGAGCCTCCCCTGACAGGACGCCACAGAACGCAGCCCATCTGCAATACCGCGTTATCCCAGCAGTGCCATATCCCGTTATCCCAGCCGGGTTTGCTGTGCCGCCTCCGGCTCACGGAGCGATGCCGCTCGCGGCTCCCGGCGCTCCCGCGGCGCAGGAGCAGCCCCGGATCCGCTCGGCCCGCGGGAACCGGAGCGGTGCCCGGTGCCCGGGCCGGAGCGGCAGCAGCGGGTGAGGATCCGGGCGCTCCCGCCCGGGCCCTGAGCTCGGGCCGAGGGAGCTCCCAGCTGCGGCTCCCCAAGGACGGCCGCGCTCCCGTGCCACGGCAGCCGCCCCGCCTCTCTCGGGGACAGCGGCAGCTCTGGGAGAGGAACCGGAGCCCCGGCGGGCGGGGCTGGGCAGCGCCGGCACTGAGCCCCCCGCGGTCTCTGCTCGGGCTCCGCCAGGAGGAGGAGGCGGACGGGAGTGCCCGGGAGGAGCCGGCACTGCCGGCCGACAGCGCTGGGCCCGAGGGGAGAACTTGCTCTGTCTGTGCTCCTTGAGCGGGATTAGGGGACGGCCAGAAGCTTTAATATTCATTTTACAGACTATCGCACACCGACCGACAGCAACGTGCGTGATGCAAAACAGCCACGATGTCTGCGGGCTTCAAAACAAAGACAAACAACGCTGTTCTCCTTTCCTTCTTTATGCGATTGCACATAGCTAAGATTAATAACACCTGATGCCATTTTCTTTTTAAAACTCTGGCCAATACCGTGCCACTGACTAGGTTTCAGAAGCAGAGAGATGACAGCCATAAATTAAACCTGATGCCAGATCTTTGCATATTTAGCTTTCCATTACAGAAATCCCAGGATGGATCCACGTGCTCCTCTCTCCTATTCTCTCGGATTTTGTCTCACTCTAATCTCATTAGGGTGCCCTAACTCCAACCAGTTCTGCTTCTCACACCAGAGCCTGCTGCCACCTCTGCTCGTGACGTTCGCAGGGCACACATTGCTCCCACGCTGACAATGGCAAAACCAATTGCCTCTCCCTCTTCCTGCAATAAACAGTTCAGCTTCTGGGGAGCTGCAGCTGTGAGACTCACGAGCAGCTCTCACATGATCCGAACGTGGAGCTGCTCTTTTTCAAGTCTTCCCCTGTAGAAAACACACCTTGCTGTAAAATGTCACCAAAGCAGGAATTGCTGCTGAAGCTCTCTCAGCGCACAAGGGAAGAGCCATTCGCGGGGCTAAAAGTGCCTCATTCCCCCTTTCCACTGCTCCTGGATCAACCCGTGTGCTCATTTCCATCTTCCTGATGAGTCTTGATTTTTTGTAGTGGACTCAAAGCAAAGCAGAGGTGAGCAAAACCCCACCTGTTGACACGATCCTTCCAGCTGCTTTTATTTATGCTGTTCCAGCTGTATTTATTTCACGAATAAAAGGCAAATTCGAGAGTCTTTTAATCTCCACGGTTTCTGTTGTCTTTTGCTTGCTTGGGCTTTTGCTCTCTGCCCTTTGCCAGTCTGGGCACGCTCACCTTTCAGGATTCCCATCCTGTGCCCTGCCCGGGCTGCCTCTGGCTCGGCTCCCTCGGCAGCCGCCGCTTTCCCCGGAGCTCTTTGCCTTCAGCTCGCGTCCCCGTCCATCGGCCGCGCCTCCCAGCTGCTCCAGCCCGGAATTCCCGCCTGGGAACGAGCAGGGATTCCCTCCCCTGGCCCAGGGAAGCCTCACCCCCGCACACATTGCCGAGGCTCAGGGGGCCGCTCCAAACCTTGGGTGTCCCAGAGCTCCGGCTCAGTCCCAGGGCAGAGCCGGGAGCCTGTCCCAAGGGCCGGGAGTGCCGCACGCGGGGAGCGCAGAGTCCCCATGGAGATCGGATCCGGCCGAGGCAGCCCAGCCCGTTCCTGCCCACAGAGAGCTCCGGCACTGCAGCCCGTTCCTGCCCACAGAGAGCTCCGGCACTGCAGCCCGCTGAGGCCGGCACACAAATCCCCGCTCTGGGCACAGCAGCGGCTGCAGCGCGTTCAGGAGAAGGCACACGCAGCGATCGTGGCTCAGTCCTGAGGCTGTGATCGAGGCAATTTATCCTGAATTAATCAAAATTAACTACCTGAGAACAGTAACTGCCATGTTTTTTAAGATAAGATACTCTTTGAATTTGGTTTACTGCGCTTTTCTGAATTGAAAAAACACATTTCCTTGTCATTCCTGCCAGTCCCTTCCAATATTTAAGTACTTGAAAAATAAGTTACCTATATTAAAGTAACTTCAACTTATTTACATACTTATTTGCTTTCACAATAAATATATTTTCTAAAATACTCTAACATTGGTATCATTTCATGTGGAATTTTCCTGTCATTCCCTTCAGGCAGCAGGGGGAATGTTACGGAGTGCAGTAAAGCCAGCCCAAGTTTTGTACTTTCCCAGGAATCAAATCATCTGTCTTGATTTGATTTCTGGACCCAAGCAGGTTTTGGTGGGATGGCATTTATTTTGCTTAGACAGTGAGAAAACACAGCTCAGAAATGAAAGTATTTCAAATAATTCACAAATAACTGCAGGAATGTCACTGCAAAAGGAGCTCAATAATGAATTAAAACAGCATTACCATTCCCAGTTCCTTACATGTGATATCCACACACACATCACAAATTGGCATTACAAAATCCTGACCATCAGCAGCAACTTGGGATTCCCAGTGAGTTTTTCTGCCCAGAAATCTGAAATCCAAAAACTCTTAAAAGCAAACAAGTGGGAGTTAAGTGTTGCTAACAGACCTGCTAACATTACTCATGACTTGGTTTGAAACACAAAAAACTCCCAAGCAAACCAAACCAACAAAAACAAAGAACCCCAAACATATGAACAAAAACCCCACAAACTGAATTGTGTTTCAATTTGGGCTGCTCGTACCAATCTAATCCCAGAGAAGTGTCAGCAAAGTCAGAAGCCATCAGAATTTCAGCTTCAGTCTGGAACAGAAGCAGCAAGGGCCCTGCCTTTCCTCTCCCTACAATTTCAGAGTTCCAGCACTTGCCAAATATCCTACTTGGGATGCACCTAAACAATCTGAATCCTCAAATAACACCATTCCCTGGGCAATAAAATGGAATTTGTGTAGGTTGTTTAGGATCTCCAGAGAGTACAGGGCAGGGGGAGGGAGGGGAAGCCCTGTGAATGGGAATACAGAGTGAAACTGGAACTGAGGCATTTCGGGAACATTGCTGAGCTGAATGGCAACTCAAAGAGCCCTCACTAAGCCATGGATAAAAGCCCCAAACCCGCTTTATTTTAGGCTTGGCCGCACAGGGAACTGTGCGCTAATAAACTGAATCATCAAAAATAAATTGTTTCCATGTTCATTTCTTTAGAATGAACACCTGCACCACGGTTCCACCACATTCATTAAAGCTTGTGCTCTGACATTGCACAGGACACGTTTGGAGGAACTGTGCTCTCTGTGCAGAACTGGGCTGCTTGCTTTTCCACAGGGAAAGCTTTCCTCTCCCAGAGCAGCAGCTACCCACAATGATGGGGTTTCATTAGGGACAGCTTTGTGTACAGTGCTCAGCTGCAGGGGAAGAATTCTGAGAGGACACCGAGGAATCCAGGCATATAAGGCTAATGGATTTCAGCCACTAACTGAATTACTGAAGGACATTGTTGAATTCCCTTATAATGAATTAAAATTTGCTGACCAAAGACAGCTATAAGCTCCTTTTTGTTAGAATTTAATAGAATATTAAACAAGAGATATATTAAAAATGTTTGGTTTTTTTTTTTTTTAAACTAGCACAAACAAAAATAAATATACCAATATTTTACAATAGTTTTACCTGAAAGGAAAAATGTGAGTTCTTTTCTTCTCACCTGTTATGGAATTAAAATATTTAAGTACCATCTTTAGATGAAAGCTTGTTATTCTGTTTCAGACTAGAAATGTATTAGTGATCCAAACAGGATTGTGCTTTTCCCAGCTATGTATTTTACTCTAATAAAAGTTTTGTCTCTTCACAAACCCTACCTGCTCATGCACACAACAGCATTCTCACTAATTACACAGATCATGCCTTGCTGCAACAAGCAGGGTTTTGGAATTCCCACAGGTGCTGAAATGGTGGCAGCAGAGCCTTTGGACAGGGACATTGTTTGCTAAATACAATTGTTGATTTTTCAGTGATAAGCAATGACAGCTCCAGCACATCTCATGGAGTCTGATCCGGTGAAAATTTCAACCTGTCCCAGCAAACTGAACTTCCCCCAGCAAGGACACATTTAGAGACTGCCCAGCACTTCAGGCAATTCTCTGCCCAGGTCTGAGTTGTGCTGGGAGCCCTGGAAAAGGACATTTACTGAGCACATACCAAGGTCTAACTCCAAGGCTTCTCTGCCAGAGGAGAGCAGCAGATGCACTATGCCACCTCCAGAGGCATGCCATGCCCTGCCCTGCCACATCCTCACTTAAATACTGATTTTAAATGTCAAAAGTAGCCTCTTTTTCTTGGAGTTCTGGTCCAGTTTTTTTCCTGTTACAAAACAAGTTTCCTGTTGGAAAAACCAGGATGATCCTTTACATGAGAACGTACTTTTTTTTTAATCTGCCACTTCACCTCACTAAATACAATATTTGAGAAGGGATTTCTTTCAATAATTTACTCCCTCAAGAGAAATTTACAGCAACTCAACTGATTAGGCATGAGTCTAAGTAAACATGAAAATGCTGGTATGCTTCCAAGTGCCTGCACCCACTTAATCAGGTTTTGGTTTATGTTTATCTCTCAGCCCGTGTGCAGTCTCCCATATGGCAGGAGCCCTTCATTTCCTCCCCCCGTTCAATGCCAGCTCCCCCTCACAGCTCCTGTCCCAGTCAGGAGGGGACAGCGCCCCAGGCCGTGCCCAGCAAAGACAGAAAGGATTATTTGGCCGAGAGCCGCCCGGTCCCGGCTCAGGAACCGCTCCCGGCCCAGCTGTGCCCGAACCATTCCAGCAACTCCAACCCCGCTCATCGCGGGCTTTTCCAGCCCAGCCCAGCTCGGCACAGCCGGCCCGTGGGGAGCCTGGAGCCACTGGGGGCTCTGTGCCCACGCCCACAGCTGCGGCCCAGCTTCTCCTCTGCCCTCATTCTAAGGAAATGCCACAAAGTTCTCTGTACCAACAAGTGAAACTGGCATTCTGTAACTCAGGAATCCCAGCTCTGCTGCTCCACATTTTTCACAGTATCACAGACAAACAGAAAAGCATCACTTAGCTGAATACCTCTAAATATCTCTTTTACAAAGATATGTAACACAAAGTCAAGAAATGCAGCCGCAAAAGAAAATAAAAACAAATATTTTTGCTAGTTATTTTCCTTTCAACTGTATTAAAAAGCCCACAAAGGTGCCCCTGAGGACACAAAAACATTGAATTTCTTACCTGAGAGATGTGCAGAGTCACGAATCAGGTGCTTTCCTCCTTGCTGAAGCCCTCCCTCATGGTTGGATTCTTTGGCAGGTTTCCAGTTAATTTTAAATACAACTACTTACCCGTGCTCACCTCTTTTTGCCAAC